AAACGTTACAAAGTACAAAGTACAAAATAACATTAAAAGAAATTGCACAAGATGGGATTATAAATCGTATAAAGTTATAAATCTTTTTTAATCTATATCGAGTTTTCTAAAACTACCCTCAACACCAAACAAATCATTCACCGATTTGCTCTTGCCAATTCTCTTTGTTTCGTCAACACGTCTGGTTGCTTCGTCTAGCAGAAACCATTCACGATACTCCTCGAGTTTCCTCATTTGCATTTCAGCCAATTCGCGTATCGGACCCGCCTTTCCACCCGATTCGTTCGGCAACTTATCCACTGAGATATATTTGGAAACGTTCTCTAACGATGAATAAAAATGCATCTGTAACAGTTGAATAAATTCAGAAAAATATGTTTGAATATTAATTATAAGTAGAGCAATATCTTTGAGTCTAATTTTTTTTAAATAAAAATCTGAATGTTACGAGTAACTATATTTTGTATAAATCTGGATTTGCTTGTATCTTTAAAAATTAAAAATAGTTATTTGGGTATAATTTAAAATTATTTAGTTAATATTATACATTACATCACGTTCGTTGCAAATATATAAATGCATTTCTTATAAACGCGGGTATTGTTAAATAATTATAATTAAAGTTAATTAATTAATTTGTGACACTTACTACATCTAGCAGTTCTTTCTTCATAAAAGGTTTTATCATGTTCATTGCCAATTCGATGACTGTTGGTGCGTTTATGACATGGATTTCCTTTATACGTAATGGTGCTGCTTCTTGGATATAATATAAATATTTTTTGAATGCGAATGGATTCATTCGTGTAATATGACCGAAGGATAAATTGCTAGCATCGAAGAAGATAATATAACCGTTCGTAGTACCATCCATTAAAAAATACATGTCGCACATCATCAGGTAATATTTGGTAGTGTCATTAATATCATAGAGAGAAGGATCGGTGTCTAAATATGTTCCATATATCAGTTTATAGCCATCTTTTGTTGTTTCTTCCAGAGGAAAATATGTCCTTTTTA